AAATGATTCATAACAAATAATACTTTAAAAATTGAGACTTGTTTTTGTCTTTTTCTACATCATTCATACTGGAAAGGTCTACGAAATGAAAGCTGGTAAAATCAATTGTGTTTTATTGTTCAAAATTTCCAAAGTATCTGATTAACTTTAGAGCTGTTATTCTTTGATAGATTGTTTAGGCAGAGCATTCATAATGAGTGCACTGGAATGGGTGACAATTGCCTGTTGTAGAAAAAAAAACAAGTGCAGAGGACGACATTTAGAAAATCTTCCAACTTTTGTCTTCAGGTCAGTGTGTGTCCAATCCAATACTGGTACGTATTTAGATTTACTAACCCAGAGGTGGTCAGAAATTTGTTGGATTTCTCTTCGTTTCTTGCTTGACTTATATGGTAGTTGAAGCTCAGATGTTGATTAAAACATAGGGGACTTGCCTATGATATTTGTGATTTTTAATTTGCTTGCATGGGTTGCCGGATCAAGTGAAAGAAGAGGCAGAGAAGAAGACTGGAAATGTTGTTTTCCTGTTGTTGAACTTGTTGAGAAAGTTGTTGCTTTTGTTTCTAGTCTGGCACACAAGATCAAAGGCTCACGAGCACAGAAACCAGACAGAAAACACCTGCCTCTGAGGGCCATCACAATCTGTCCCAAGAAGAACACAAGCCCAGAACATAGTTTATTGACATTTGAAATTTACAAGGAATATATAACATTTATGTATGATAATAATTTCAGTAGACAATAAGACAAATATTAGATGGAACAAGTGTGTGTAAGTTGTTGCAGGTCTTTTATACTATCCTGGTGGATTGTGGAGGAAGTGATTGGATGTTTATCCCTGGTTCTGATTGGTGGAATGGATGCGTGTGGATTCAACCAATGGTAGCCATAGGTTGTCTCACTTCTAATCCTAAGTATCTGTTTAGTGAAGGCTTTATTGTATTGATGTAGAATGTTTTAAAAAACAATGTTACACCTCTACCTTCATGAAGAACACCACTACTACTATTTACCTCCCCTACATGCAAAATGTTATTGAAAAACTCAAATGCGTATCCAAAAGGTTCAACATATACATCAGGTGAAAATCTTACAAGACAACAAGATTTATCCTAGTAAAAACCTACTTATGGAAAACACAAAAATGTAATCTATGAAATTCCATGTTTCTGTAACAAAACATACATTGGAGAAATGGGAAGACAACTCGGGACAAGAATAAAAGAACACAAAGATGGCACAAGGCTCATGAAAAAAGAAAATTTAGCCATTGCGAAACACACAAAACAAAGTGGAATAAAACTAGAATCATCAACACAGACAAATTTTGGAAAACAAGAAAAACTGAAGAATCTTTCTACATTAACACAATAAAGCCTTCACTAAACAGAGATTTGGGATTGGAGGTGAGCAACCTATGGCTATCATTGGTTGAATCCACATGCAGCCATTTCATCAATCAGAACCAGGGATAAACAACTAATCACAACTCATCCTCCACAATCCACCAGTATACTATAAAAACCTGCAACATCTTACACACTGACCTGAAGATGAAAGACAGAAGAATTTCAAAAAATTGTCCTCTACACTTGTACTTTTTTTCTACAACAAGCAGTTTCTGCCGATTCCAATGTACTCTTCAGTGTTGGTATTCAGACTTTCTAATACAAGTGAATAACTTGAGCATTAATAATAGTATGTACTTTTTAGTCTTATTTTTGTTAATGAAGTCAGGATACTCACTTGCAGTTAATATTTCACTATCACTCATAACAGTTTACTGACTTAGACTCCTGGGCTTCAGTATCAATGAAAACAAAACAATGGTATACACTGTAGACTAATAGTTTCCAAATTGTGTATAGAAACAAGTTGCTAGGAGGTGTAAGAGAGTTTCAAAAAAGAATAATAATTAAGAACATAAAAAAACCTCAACAAAAAAGATTGCACGTTACAGCAGGGGTGTTGCTAACATCAAGGTAAGTGGGATAGGGTGTCATCAGTGAAAAAAGTTTGGAAACCATTGAATCCTTTGACTTGTAGTGATACATTTACAATACATTTTGCAGAAACTTATATTAACATACAAGTTATGGCTCACCTACTGATTTTTAAGTGACACTTAATCTGTTAATTTCTTTAATTATTATAGTACATATTGTTTGTTTGAAAAAAGTAAAATTACAATTCCATAGTACCCTCACCAAATCATTATCCTGAGATTAGCTTTATATGCACTAAATAGTTTTTTTGTATGGAATGCTTAGCCACAAATCAAAGTAGATCACTATAAATCATAGAGTGATTAAATAAACCTTCATTTTTTCCGACGGCCATGTAAAAGGATTGTGAAAGTTTCAAATCTTTTAGCACTCTTTTCTAAATAAAAATTGTACCCCTAAAATTATGTTTGCATCTGTCTTTACACATAACTACAGACAGATAACATTTCATCACATGGCAGTTTATTTTGCCGTGTGGTATAAAGTATTTGAGAAACAGTTTTCTGCTTCACACCTTCAAAGCTTGCAGCTATGATACTACATTTGACAAAAATACACACAAGTCCTATATATAGTTAAATTGAAAATAAATATTTACAAAGTTTCTACTTAAGATAAAATTGTTATGGTAAAATTAAAACAAAGAGATATAAGAGAAGACAGATAATACATTATAGTTTTAAGTGAAAAACAGATAAACTAAATTATTTTTCAAATATAATTGTTTGCAAATCAAACAAGATTCCATGTAAGAAAAGCAAAATATTCTTACTTAGCTAACCTTAGCATTCTTTGATAATCACACTTTTAAATGGTGGAATAATAGCCGAGAACTTCGGGTGTCTTCATCTTGCTTTAGGTTTTAAAAAAATTCTTTTATTACATGATTCTTAAGATCACTAAAGCAGACATTTTGATTAGTGGTTGGAAAATAAGATTTATTTACTTATTTTGGATATTGATGTTAAGAGGGAATGCAGATAGCCAAACAGCACTCACTGCCGACTCCTAGGTTATTCTAATCAAGAGTAGAATTTTACCATCACTATTATATTGCACCCCAACTCCAAAATGCAGAGAATGATCTTAATTATTTGTGTGTGTTTATATATGGTAATGGGAAGGGAGCCACAGTCAGGTACACTAACTGCTAAGCCACACCCAACCATGTAAATAAGGTGGTTGATTGAATTCTCCTTGTGTCAGCAGTTCTTAAAGAAAATTAAAATATAATTAACAAAAAAGTAATTATTTTTGATGAGAAGAGTACATTTTTTAAATACAGTTCACACTACAACACCATCAGCAAGAAAATGTATGCAGACAACAGTGACAGAAATATTAAATATCATACATATTTCTTGCATGTTACATGATTCGTATTTTAAAAAATTATTCAAACATTTTCATTATTATTATTATGATAAAACCTTGTCAAAAAAAGGAAAAAGAAGAGGTACTAAAGTATAAACACTGTAAACAATCAGTTCCATCTTCAAATTAATTACCAAGTACAAATGAAATAAACAAATACAAAACAACCAAATTTACATTGACTAGTGTACATCTAAGTCTCTAAAACACGAGACAACAATAAAAAATTAAAATGAGATGCTTACTCGATACACCTCTACTAGACATACTGCTAGACCTCCCAAAAAATCCTGCAAAAGGATCATGACCAAAGAATTCTCTGAACACTTCCTCTGGATCACGAAATGTAAACCTGAAGAAGTGATTGAAATCCCTATCAAACATGGGGTTCACTCCATAATGTCGTCTGTGGTGACTTCGTCCATGGCTTGAAAGCCCTTCTTTCCCTCGCTGATCATATATTCTTCTTTTTTTTTCTATTGAAAAGATGATTTTAACAAATTACTGATATTCCTTTTTTTTCATGCCAATTAAATATAAATTACTTTATTTAGATAACAATATATGAATGATACTTATCGATGAAAATCATTAATGAGTTATTATTTCTCTTATTTAATTCTTCATTTAAACTGTTTAGTGCAACTAACTCTTTATTGAAAACAAACATACAACATTGAATAGTTTCACAATAAATTAAGCTTTATTAAAAACAGGGGACAGCCCTAAAAAGAATACATTTAAGTAGCATACCATGCTACCACCATCAGAAGTAAGTTAAAATCAGATACCAACTTAAATACCTACATCACCTCCAATCTAAATTATCTTATATTACACCATCTGGACATCAGATGCAACCCTCCCTTAAGAGCTTACAAAATAGATTCCCAGTATTTCATTTCTTACACAACTGGACCACCATCTTTATTTAGAAAAATTTTTTCTCAATTTCTACCGATTCTCTAGTACTTAATTCCCATTTAAACTCAACCTGATTCATCACTATAACATAAGAAGTACTTTCCACATGTTTAGCCTAAAGTTGATTCATTCACTTTACATTTGTCTACCACAATTATGTTTTATAATTCTGAATTTCAGCTTTCTACACATTTGTCCAATAGAAACTCAATCACAGACATGAGGAATTTTGTAAATACCACACTTTAACTTATTCTTTTACACCTGTGAGATGAATTTTAACTTACAATATGGAGAGAAAGTTACACTACAATCTACATATTTTTATTATTACATTACCTTCTGTTATTGAAATACCTTGAATATATGACAAATAAACCCTCATGCCATCTTTTTTACCATTTCCTTTTAACCTTCTACATATGGACATTTTTAATTTATTGCTTTGCTTATTAAACAACCTATCAATAATATTGGGATCATAGCCTATCTCTCTAGATACATGCTTCATAATATGTTGAAAGATTGTGTGTGTGTGACTTAAGTAAAACTTATACAATGTCATTATTTGAACTCTAGTTTCCTTGCATTTTTAAAATGGTCATGTGCATATTCACTCTAGAAATTCAGCAGTAAAGATAATTCAGACTGATTAATATTCAATTCTGGATGTAACTCATGTAATCAAAGTTTTTTTGGTTTTTCACATTTTTCAATTGAAAAGCTTCAGCAAAATAAGTCCATAAAACTTTTTCCATTAATTTGTCCTCCCCACAGGGTACATACAAGCTTTTGGATAGTCAGTATCCATCTTCAGACACAAAGAAAATTCCAATCCTAACTTTAGCAGCAAATACTACCATGAATCTACATTTAATTGTTCATAATTTCATTTTGATAGTTATTTACCCCTAAAGTTAAAAAAAATAAATATAATTCACACTCTAATACATTGGACAGTTCCTTTTCTGGGGTTTCATGAAGAAGTGGTAAATACAAAGAAACAATTTTTCGCTAAAATTAACAAACATTCTATAACTAAAAATAGATAGTTTATTGTGTTTTGCTGTATACAAGGAAACATGATTTAGAACTAAAGATATAGATTAAAACTATTTTAAAATTTAAGATTTATCATTAAATTAAACTTAGAATTGTTCTTATGCTGATATTTCATTTAAATAATTATTTTAAATTTAAAGACTGTTCCATAAAGGCAGAACTCTTGCACCATCTATAAATGTACATGTTCAGGGTGTAACCATGGCTACATGGGCTCTACAATTTGTTGTTTAAGGAGATGGATTAAAGAGCATTCACAATATAAAAAATATAATCAGTAAGCTATTCTTCAACATGGCTTACAAGACTGCGACTTTCTCCCTACTGTACAAAATTTCAGTATTCTAAGAAGCATTTCTATTTAGAAATACACTGAAGAAAATTTAATGCACCACTAGCTTGGATCTAGCTAAGTGGCATCCAAAGAACCACATGACCTACCTTTACAAAAGACTGAAATGAAGAGATATTAAATTCATAGTTTTGATCTTAAAACATTATGAAGAAGAGACTGTACCCACCAACAAATCAAAACACCCACTTTGAAATGTTTACAATCAAAAACACATTAAAAAATTAATTTTTTTTATAAATATAAGCAAAACAAGATACATTTAACAGCAAAAACCCTTCTAAGCTTATCACGAAAGATGTTGCAGGAGCCCAACACTGAAATTACAGAATTTCATAAGACTGACTACACAGCAACATAAAAGTACAGTTATACAAAGGCAAACCAGTCTGCCAAGAAAATACTTATAGAAAATAAACATTCATCACTAAAAAGTTTCTTAACTTGTAACAGACCAAAAACATTAAACCTAAGAGTTAAAATAGTTAAGCTTTTGCCATGCCTTTACAAGACACACAAGGTAAGTAATTTTGAATTTGAATGGCACAAATGGATGAGAATGGTATACCATTCTCCCTGGATGGGATGCCAGTCCATTGCAGGTTAACCCCAGCTAACAGCTAGTAGACTGGAACAAGTGGGGTAAAGCACCTTACTGAAAAGTACAATATGACACTGGCCAGCTTCAAACTCACGACCATCTGACTGCAAGTCTGAAGTGCAAAACCACAGAACCATGTTGTCCCCATCCTATTAGATATTAGCTAAACCTATACAAGAAGTACAATATTTTCATCAGCAGGTTCTTCCTAATCAGATGATTTTAGTCTCCTATGAAATTATTTACTAGTGAAGTAATTATGAAATCTATAAATAATATTAAATAGTTACAAACCTGTCATAACCATTTGGATTAATATGCTTCAGTTTACACAACTTTCAAAGATACATCTAAACATTAAATAATATTATATTATTCATTAATTTCATTCCAATGGTTAAAGCCCCACAAACAAATTAAAAGGTAAATCAATTAAATTTGTACCATAAAACTACATGTAACATAAATCTGAAGCTATACCATCTGATAAAACTTCATAAGCTTCAGAAATTTCTTTGAACTTTCTTTCTGCTTCTTCTTTCTTCTCTGGATTTTTATCTGGATGCCATTTTAAAGCAAGCCTTCGGTATCTATTACAGAAGACAAAAACATCTTTACAGAAAAGTAAAAACCTTCCCCCCAAAAACTAGGGAATATTACTGTTTAAAAAATTTTAAATGTTTTAGATATATCATTTTATGCCTTAAACTTTATTTCCAATTATAATCAAGAGCTTAAGCAAAAGACCTATTGACAATTTTTTAAAAATAAACTAGCACTGCTGTGATCCTGATTTCCTCAAACACAACTTGTATAATTTTATCATTATAAATGATACCGAAAATGTCCGTAAAATTTTTGTCAAAAAATATAATATAGTAAAAATGTAATGATACAGTATATGTAAACAAGCATGTTAAAAGAATAAAACTAAACAGCCTGTACCAACTCTGAACAAGAAAAACCTAAAATAATTACATCATCGTCTGAATACAAAAAAATAGAAGATTAATGTGCCTTCTTAACATTCTATGATCACTCATTTTGCTCTCAAAAACTGGTATCTCAAAATCAACTTAACCTTATTTTGTTTAAGTTACTTTAAGAAATCTACAAGTCGAAAGCCATTTAAAAGTTAATTTTAGTAGCAAATACAAAATATTGGTCATATTTTTTAATGATCATTTTATGTTTAATTGGAAATAAAAGTTAACTTTTACAGGCCAAAGCCAACAACATAAAAATTGTTTCTCTTTCTCTTCTATTACAATTTTTCAACTTTCAATCCTTTTCAGCATAAATGTTCAATGTAAGCATTTTATATTACATATATTAAGTACAATAAAATTCACATATGAAAACTACAGGAAGAACCGTGAAAAATATAATCTGAAATTTTAAAATAAATCAACCAAAAAAATCATATCTTGTCACTATCACACTTTGCACAGGACTTTCCAATTTTTTTTTTTTTATTATATATATAAATACCATGTATGGTTGTCATACTTTGTATACAATGTTAGATAGGTAAAAAATGAAGCCTGCCAAGCTTACTTGTACCTATTACAACAACTTCTTTATTTAACTTTTCCCTGATTAGATAGTTCAGTTCTACTATTTTATTAAAAAATAAAAAGGTTCTACAAGAACATCTTCCAATCATTTAGAATACTATCAGAGATCAAAATATTAAATTCCCCCATTCCAAAGGAATTTAACTTGAGGAATTTCATGTTTTTAGTTGGCTTTCCCCGATCGGGAATACATGATCCATCCGTATTCCTATAATTATGACCAAGGAAAGTGAACATATTGCATGAATTAAAAAAAAAACATTCATGAGGAAATGCAACTTTACATAACGAAATGTAATCTTCCCGATAGCTTTCTCTCAAATGAATGTAATTTTATTAAACTATTTCTATCCCTATGTTAGATGTTCTTGCTTTAGGTAACTTGAACAGAAAAATTCATAAAAACAACTTGTTAGTATTTATCTATACTAAGTTTAAATATGCCTTAATGAATTGCATAAATGACCCAAGTTTTCAGTAAGAAGTGTAAGTAATAGCATTGATGACCTACTGAAGTGATTCTTCCTTAACGATAAGTATTGTCCATTTACGTACATATGTACGTGCAAGTGCATGTGTGGGGTACATTACATAACCATTGTTTTAGCCTTGAAGGGCTACTATTGACCGTGTGCAAGTTTCAAATTTTGTATTCCCCTTACAACTTCCCAGTTTTTGAGAAGTAAGGAAATATCAAATTTTTTTATTGTGTATCTAAAAATAAACCAAGCACAACGATAGTGGTTTATCCATAAATGGTGCAGTACAAAAGTTAAAGAATCTACTCTTGATGTAATAGTTGGGTCCAAATTGCACTGTTGTAGATTCTGAATGAATGTGGCTACATTAGGTACTCAATATCTGACGTGAACAAAACCATATTTAATATTTTGGTAGATTTCATTGTTACTGAACTGTTTAGGATCAAGTTTTAATAATCTAGTAAATTTAGTGCTATTGAACTCTGACAAAGCACTTTCATTACCAGTCTCTTATTTGCAATTATCGCTACTATATTTTAATTCACTGGTTTTATAATACATTTGGCTGTTGTTCTGTAAATCAAAAAAGGGCTTATGTTACAAAACCAAAGAAGTCGTATGTACTTTCAAAACATGTTTTAGAATTATTGACAAGTAGCATTAATATATTGTTCTTTTTCATCAATCAAGTGATAGATTTAATCAAATTAACAATGGGGGAGGATTTTTATTGTAGGTAATGAAATCTTCTATTTGAAACCTACTGTTACGACAGTGGAAGTCAAGTGATGCTGGTAACATGCGATGAGTTTCTAGAAGGATCATGAAGGCTCGAGTGTTTGCCAGACACCCTCTACTTTAATATATAAGCCAGGCAAATAAAGGGAGACAATGATTACAGATAATAGAGTCAAGCTGTAAGTAAAGTGCATGAATCATTGTGAATTCTAGCGTGTGTTGAAGTTAAAGTGACTGTGGAAATTAAGTGTATTGCAAAGTTGTGTTGAGAAAGAATAAACTAATTTTATTTAAGAAAGGACTTGTATCACTGAAGTTCCCGGGAAGAATTTATACGGGAAATTAACAAATGACCAGAGACGTAACACTATATTGACCTTATTTTTATGGTACAGTCTATCAAGAGCTTTGTTTATTTGTTTTTTTACTTGAGCTGCACAAAAAAAAAAACAGCTAAGCATCTGAATTTGGCTTTACCCTAGTATTCAGTAAGTTAAAATTAGCATGAACATTTTGGAAAAGCTTTTATTATTATTATGAAATAATTTTGAAGACATAAAAGAAAACAAAAGACTCCATCACAGTAAAGCATCTCGCAACAATTATGGCACGACAGCTACTGGCTGGTCTTAGTAGAAAAACAAATAGCTATTCCATAATGTAAATGCAGTACTACACATTTTTTTCCAGCTAGGAGTAAACTATTTAGGTATATTTCAGACTGTTAAAAAAAATTACATCCATATTCTAGAGTTCCTTTGTATTTAAACAGCACTAAAGATATTTTGAAGATACCATCTGATAAAACCAGGGATTACAGCTGTAATGAATACATTACATATATTAGGGTTAATAAATTGAGCTTAGCAGTATTATTCATTCTTTACTTGGAAGACTATTTTTATCATACACCTATTTACTTTAACAATGTATTTCTATTTTGAAGAGAAATTTGATTTTTAAATTAAAGCATAGTAACTAGAACTGCTGTAGTTGTTGTTATTGTATGCAGGTTTTTGAATTAACAGCTCCATCTCAGTGGAAATCAATGTATTAAGTTTCTCCAGATACTCACTTACTATGCACTGATAATTTCTTTGGTATTTGGAATCACAGTGTTGAAGCTTCAGTGAAATTCCATACCTTCTAAACTCAATTGATCCAACTAGTTTCCACTACTGGTAAAACATTTCTTAAACAAAACCAACCCTTCTATTAATTTTTTTTACTTTCTTTTATATATATATATATATATATATATATATATACACACACACACTATTATACTACTATAATAATATACTACTAACTAACTACGTATACTATTATTTATTATATATATACACCTTCCCTTCCTTACTAACAAAGTACGGAACGAC